TGAAGCCATCAGGGAGGTATCTAAGTAGTTTTTGAAGGATTTCAGCCATTGGAGATATCTGAAGCCATCAAGGGAAGTATTTTGGTAGATTTTTAACGGAATTTCGACCCGGAGGTATCTGAAGCCATCGGGAAGGTAGCTATGTTTTTTGTGGGGAGGGGGTTGGCTAGAGGGAGGTATCTACAAGAAGCCATCAGTATGAGTTATTGCCATGAAGGCATCAGTGTGTGTAGGGATTAAATGTGGTGGTGTAGAATATGGAGGGTGGCCCGAAGTCCAGCCGATTGCAGTCGCGAAGCGGCTGTAATCGGCTGGTGGTATAATAATATAGGTTGGAGTGCAGTTTACTTCCCCTAGCCGGCACCCAACTTGTATCTCGGCTTCTTGTTCATCTACAGGTGTGTAAAGTGCATCAAACTGTTTGTCTTGCTGTGGCGAGTATTTTGGTAACTTTACACACCTGTAGAGAGGCTGGAGCCGAGATACGGTAGGTGGGGGTCGGCTGCGGGGGAAACAGCTACTCAGCTTAGAATATACAGTATATTTTAGTTCCCAAACCCGTTGAATTTTCGACATAATTCTGTGTTCAGGTGTACAGCCGTATGTGCGTCCCGACAGCACCACAAATGGCCATCGTCGGTTGGGATACCCCTTCGATATTCACGGGTTGGATGGGGAGGGTGGGGATCAGCCAAGAATCGCTCGAAACCCTCTGGGCGCGCCCGGACTTTACCGTCAATCAAGTGTGGGAGGGCTGGTTGACGTGGTAGGTCATTTAAAGAGGCGGTGAAGCGGGAAAATCGGTTTTTCCAACGGACGGCTAGGGCTAGACAGGAAAATGAAGGCTGAATTTTAACATTCGCTTCCGCCGTCCTATTTCGAGCTTTAAGGCAGCCGGATACGGAATCGTATGTCGTCGACAACCCGGACCGTCTCCGAGGTGGAGTAGAGCAGAGGCGGATCGACAAGTTTCTCGAAATTGTGGTCAGTTTACTGGGGAATAAGCAGACCAGCATCATTTTGCTGTTGTTCCCTTTAGATTTTTTTTGACGTTTTGGTAAACATGTATATAAAAACGAGTAAACTTTCTAAACTTCCAATTTTTATATTTTTTTATAAATGCCTTGTAATAAAAAAAAAATCACAAAATTATCAAAAGCAAGGCAAGCGAAAGTTTTTTGTCCAATCTTTGTCAGATAAAGAAGGGTAGTCTAAACTGCTTTAGCGCCTTATTAAACTTAATAAAAACAAAAAAATGGGGTTTTCTATTAAACTAAAATATTTCAATTTTTGATTTTGGAGAATTTTTGCGCTTGGAATCTTATTCGATTTTTGTCAAAACCACAATTAAAATACTTTTTATCACAATGTCAGGCATTCCCGAAATAAATTCGGCGAAATTCGAATAAAAAAAATCGGTTTCTTATTGATCCCCCAGGCCTGGGAAAGGGCCGGCCCGGAGCCGGCCCGGGCCGGGCCCTAAGGTCAAATTCTCGGCCCGGCCCGGCCCGGCCCGACGGGCCGAATTCTCGGCCCGGCCCGGCCCGGCCCTGGGCCGGCCGACCGTGACCGGGCCGGCCCTACATTTTGACCTTAACTACCGCCATTCATCAGAGGAGTCCTGACACAAGCTGAGAGTGCGTTTTGATGTCTCAGGTCATGCCAAATGGCATTGCAGTGATTTCAGATTGTTTCCGGTAGAAAAAAGCAAAAAGCAAAAATTGACCTCGGGCGGGGTCGAACCCGGGTCGTTTTCCTGGTAAGAAATTTTGATCAAAAATTTATTTTTTTTGGTTTAAGCTGTGTAGATAGATAGCTTAATCTCTATACATGTAAAAATAATAAATATTTTCGCTATATAAACGCATTTAAATATATTTCAAATTCGTTCAGGAAGGTCGGGCCGGCCCGGGCCGGCTCGGCCGGCCCTGAAATTCGAGGCCGGCCCGGGCCGGCCCCAAAATTCCCAGGCCTGCCCCCCCCCCCCTGTCATGCCCAAGAACGGCGGTTCTCATTCCAGCCATGGATGCCCGATTGGAGCGCACCGATGGAGACGGAAGGCATCGCCGACGGGCGAACCCTTTCCACCCTATTCATTATCACAAAAATCGGGAGTTACTGCCTAACGGCGAGTTCGCGACGAATTGGAGACACGGCGCCGGATTTGGGATGCTATGTGAGATGCCGGGTCAGGTAAGTCGCGTACGGCTTTCAAACCAATTTTGCAGCTTCAACAAAAATCTGAACTCCGGCAAGGTACTGGAATACGAGGTCAGTAATTTAGGAACATTTTTGTATTAAATTGTTAGGTGCTCCCATTGCCGACGAGGACGATTGAAATGGATTGGATTGGATATCTTATCAAGGTTTTTTAATTGGGTTCTAGTACATGATTTTTGGATTGATGGGGGGCGGCCAGCCTTGAATATCGATTTTGCTAGCTGTACATTCAGTAACGTGGAATTTCGTTAAATTCCTGACGCCCACAATGTGCGCAGGCACAAACAAGGGAAGGCCACTTGGGGGGAAATGGAATTTCGTAAAACGCTCGCACTTCCCGGTAGTACAGGGTGACGATTAATTAACTGCGCGAGAGAAAACGCTCGCTCCGGAATTTCCTTCAAAGGCAATCTCGATCCTCTGCGTTTTATGATATCACAGGTATCTAGTACTTATTGCACAAAAAATTGGGTCAGGGACCTCAACTTTTTCTCCAGCCCGAAAAATCGTCGCTCGAGCAAAAAGACGCGCGCGGCGCAGGTATTGTTACCGATCAAAAAGCCCGATATTTTTTCAGCCCAATAGGTAGAGTCCTCAAATTATTATTGTTATTTCGATGCCTTCGGATTACCCTCCAGATGCCTGCCAAATCCATTAAAAGCATTTTTATTGAACCCCTAGCCCTACCAAACAACAAAAGTCTACGTTCAATTTAGCTCTCCGGAGCCGAATCGGCCAGAATGAGTACACCTCAGAATAAAAAGATTTCTCAGCGGAGAAGTACAATTCGTTGATATAACCCTCTTCTTGACGTTGGCTTGATAGGACGCATTGTTAAATTGAGGCCGGTTCTGAAGAATTTTATGAGAAGTTCTGGCAAAAAATGATGCCATCGAATCCAGCCCGCGCTCGCCTCAAAATCGGCAGCAATTTCCTAGCATTTTTGGATTCCCAGTTTCCTGATAAAGCCTTATGAACTTAAGAACTTTTTGGCATATGGTTGTTGTAAGGACGCACATATTTTCTCATATCGTACCGATAGATTCACGCGTAATATCGAAAGGACGCGCGGTTTTTACTTCCATTTGACCGATGTCGTTCCTCGATACTGTATCTTTTTATCTTTTGACTTAGGTCGGTTTTCCGAACGCTTACTACGTTTGAAAAGAAGCGTGCAACATATCTGAGCCGTTTTTTAGAAAGATTAGCTACCGCCCATGGCTACAGTAGGCTTCAAAAGTGTGACCATGCGATCAGGATGCGCGTTGTGAAGCCGGAATTTATGTTTCTTAGCTCGTAGTTTTTCGTGATTGCTTAACTCGGTTAAAATTTGAATAGGATGCAACTAAACAACCACCATATTGCGGTAAAACCACTCTATCAAAGAAAATTTAAAGTCTGATTTTGGGGTAAAAGCGACGCGCAGGTAATTAATCGCCACCCTGTATACCCCGGGTAATAATAAGATATCGCAATCCTAAAACACCTCGCAGTCAGTATAGTTCCCCTCGTGCATAGTTCCGGGTGAAAAAATTTTGATGTACACGGAGTGACCGTAACGCCGTATGACCGTCATTAGGTGAGGTTTCGTTTTCGGTTGCTTACGTATCTTGCCCGCTCACGAATGGTATTTTTGCAATTTTGACGGAATATTTGTTTTCTTGTATTTCGACTATTTCAAACAATGAGTCTTAAATGAGTCCCTGAGAACCGGCTCTTTTGGCTTACCTGCTGAGCTTTTGCACCGGAAGATTGGCACCCTACGCACATTATTTGGTGTCCAGTTGTATTGGTACGGAACCAAATTGTACCGGAACTATACACGAGGTTTTAGAGTATTTGATTATCCTGTAAGAAGAGGCATAAGGTTAGCGCTAGTAAGACTCGACCCATTACGTGTCGCCATTAGAGGTTTTGCTCCGCCATCACGGAGCAAGTTCCACGCCCTGTTCCAAGTCGTTCGCCACGGACCGGACGGTGTCCTCCCCAGTGGGGTTCCCCAACTTTGAAAACGTATTCGGCATCAGTAGGGAAGCGCTGCTGCACGACCTCTAGCGAAATTCCATAGCCAGCAACAAACCGCTATTGCACACGCTTTCGCACGTCACGTAGCTGGCGAAACTCGAACAAGCGTGTTCATTTTCGCACTTATGGAAAAACGCCTTGTTAAGCGTGCCGCAATTTGACCTCGAAATAAATGCAAAGGCAAAATTTCCAGTTCCACGCCCTGTTCCAAGTCGTTCGCCACGGACCGCACGGACTCGAGCTCCGGAATCCGATTTTGGGAATGTATGTGGACGAGAAGCAAAGGCTTGGCGTATGAGTTCAGTTATTATAATATTATTACATTTAAGGACCCCGACATCGGGAGTTTGGTTGAACTCGCCATAATGCACCACAAGGACAAGGAGACCGGGAAAACCGCGTGGCGGGTACCGTGATAATTTGGGATAGACTTTAGCGCCTTTTAGTTGAGTGCGCATTATGTGCTTGAGAGGAAGGATGCGGAGGAATTTTAGATGAGGTTAGCGACGCGGGAAGCGGAAATGAATTTTATATAGTTTGAACCGATCGAGGTGGAGGACAAAATCGAACCTCCGACCGGGGTGCAAGAAAACTTGGAGGTATGCGAGGGTTAGAGAGAAAGAGATAGATACAGAGATACAGAGAGAGTCAGAGTGCGAGAGAGAGAAGAGATATAGAGCGAGAAAAGGCAGACGGTGAGTGCGAGAGATAGAGAGAGAGAGTGAGAGAGAGTGAGAATGAGAGAGAGAGATAATGAGAGGGAGATATAGACCGAGAGAGTGAGAGGCAGAGCGAAAGATTGAGAGAAAGACAGAGAGTGAGAGAGATAGCGAGAGAGCGTGTGAGAGAGGGCGATATTTCAGCCAACCATCGGCGTCCATCAAGACGGTCAAATTCGCGAGGAATCTAACCGTCCGGAAATCTCCGAAGCTTTGCTCGACCGACTGGCTCGCCAAGGTCTCGAATAGCCCCCGTACTAACAGAATTTTAATGATCGTTAATTGTCCAATTTTCGATTACAATTCTTGCCCTGTTAAAGGGATTGAAAAGGCATAACTTGGATTTTTTTTGTCATTGATCGCCAGCGGCACGCAGCGAATAGCTTAGCAGATCGTAGCGTGGGGTACGTGGCGTAATATAGCGCAAGCCGTTGTACCGTAAAGTAGCGTAGCGTATCATAACGCAAGATTTTGCATCGTAACGGATCGCAACCAATCGTACCGAAACGTAGCGTTGCGTAGCTTAGCGTACTGAATTACAGGATGCCGCGGCTCTTTCTAACTTTATGTGGAATCCGTCGAGAAAAAAAAAATTGATAAGCATGCCTTGTCGATCCGTTTAAAGGGAGCGTGACATCTCGGTGCTTTGCAGCTAGTCAATTTTTTTGTTTTGTTTTAGTGTTAATTTTCGGACTTACTTAGCTATTCTGGCCCGTTTTTCAACCTCTGAATTCGTGCAAATTTTTTGAAAAGCCGCGGCAGGTCGACAAGCAGCTGGTGCTCCAAAATGCCCGTTAAACTCCTAGTCAACGATCTGATTCTTGTCAAGTGTGCTTTTTCAGTTTTTTTTTGACTTCTGGTGCTTTCCAAGTTGTACCGTACCTTCGAAAATTCCATTTTTGAAGATCCCAGCATGCTTTAAAGCTAGATAACCACTTTTAACGTCTAGTAGTTGTTTTCTATGTATTATTCAGTAATAAAGCTTGTATAATACCACTTTATCGACACATTAATATGAATTATACACATAAAATGGTGATAAAACATGAAAAAATCACATAGTTTCAAGAAAAAATACCTTAAAGTATCGTTTTCGTTCGGTAGAAATTATTATCCAAAAGTCAAAAAAATTTCTGTAATTTTCGTACACTGTAAACTACACAAAAAGCATACCAGTAAACGACATGGGGAAAATTCAATTCAGAAGATTTGCAGAAAATTTTGGTCCACGGGTACGATAGATCAGTAGGGGGATACGGTAGGCTGGGCATGACATAAAAAGGAGAAAAAATTGGGGCTCACCGATGAATAATTGACATATTCTAATAACCGGGGGGGCTTTTGGCACGTCGCTCAGGTATTTGGGGAGGACGCAAAGGTACGCAAAAATACAGCACTCACACACAAAACACGCAAAAATTCTGTAGAAAATACTGTTTTTTTCCGGTGTTCAGAGGATGGAAAGGTACTCAAGGCGGCACGCAGTGAACACGTCGCGCTCGGTGCGGATCAAGACCTTGCCCTCGCGGATTGAGTCGGGCTGGGCGAAGACCACCTGGAAATGGGGGTCAGGTGTTGTTTTTGCATATTTCAAGAGCACGATCACATGGAGGAGCGTCTTGTGCGCGTCTGTACGCTACAATACGCCAAGGTATGCTCCGCTTCGATACGATCCGTTGCGTGAGCTATAATACCCTGCGCTACGCTACTTTACGCTACGCCACGTCATGTTACGCTACGCTACACTACGTTGCTTTACACCACGCTGCGTTACACTATGTTACGTTACACTACGCAACGCAATGCTACGATGCTAACGATACGATACCGTTTGCTACAACACGCTCCTGTTTGCTTGTTTGTTTGTTACAGTTTATGTTACTGTAGGATGCGCTACGCTACGATACGCTACGCTACAATACGCTATTTCTAGAATGTTTATCATACGCTTCCATTTTTTGTGTCTCATTCTCTTACCTGATCCCTATACAGCCGTAGTTTGATGTCGGAGATGAGGACATTCTGGGAGATTCGCATCGGTTGCTCCCCGGGCTTCACCTTTCCGACACAAGTGGCTGGGAAGGAGATCAGCTGCTCGGTGCGATCGGATATTCTGAAAATTGGGATTCGAAAATGTTATCGAATGCCCCTTAAACTCCTTAACAAAATACTGCTACTTTCGCTACTATCGACAGCAGAAACGTAACGTTTAAACGCTCTTCGAAAGGACTAGCATGCGTACTTTGGTGTGGCCTGTAGTTGTCGATACCAGTCGACGTCAAGGTCGATTTTAGCGTTTTTTGTTCCCTTTAAAACCGAATTATTCACCTAAACCCATGGAGCCAATCCGGGTCTCCATTGTTGACGACGATCAACTTCTCGCCCAAGTACAGAGGTTGTCCAGTTGATGGGGTGTACTCGTGGATGACGATGTGACCGCCTTGTTGGATGCTCGCTGAAAAACGTCGATTAAATAAATATAGGAAACGAATAAAATCCGCTACCGTATCCATCCAAACTAGCAAAAATCAACATTGAGGTTATTTTACTTTTTTTCAAATCCAAAAGACCCAAAACTCCTTTCACAAATAAATGCTATCTCAGCAATTTTAATCGGGTTCCAAGAGAGAGGTTGTCATAGTCAATAATCAATAACCTACTAGCTTGTAATACCACCGGCTGGGAGCCGATCCACGTCGATTCGTGTTGACCTGCAGAGCAGCTTCCGCTCCCAATCCGACAAATCGGACGATCCATTCCGCAACCTTCCAGTTGACGATGCGTCGCGCGCACTGAGCACGGCTCCTCCACCTGAATACGTTCGTTTCATCAGTGTCAATAGTAGTAGATCGGAATTTAGGAAGTAGGATTTTCGGGGAAATTTTATTACACAGCCCCACAATTCCGAATCCCGAATTCTTGGTCTTTTGTAAGCGAGTTCCCATAAATTTTGGACTCGGAAAAATTTGTGAATTTGGTGAAAAGGGCGGTATCAAGGGCTACACAATTTTTTGTTATTTTTTGGTAAATTTAATGCGAATTTTTGGGGTACTCTAGCTAATTAGAATACAGCTTCTTTTTAAATTTTCTAAACCTAACTTTTTCTAAGGAATTAAAGTTTACTAATTCCACTCCAGGTCTTTCAAAATTTTAAAAACTTCATTCTTATTTTATTTATACAATTTCAAGTTTATTTAGGATTTTTTTTGATTCTTTACAGTTTTCTCAATAAAAACCATTTCAATGCCGTACTCGGCACTTCATCCTGCAAATTCCTAGCACCACAAAAGCCATAGGGCACTTTTTTGCACGGGTCCCCAACAAGTAATTTTCGGCGCAATTAGTGGCCACAATGTATGGTTCCAATTCTCTGGGTTTTAGAGTGGCGGTGGACTCGAATTTTAGGCCCTATAATTCAGCGATTGTGCTGGCCGCGAAAAATTAATAGGCGCGAATTGCCGCAACGAGAAGGATGCGAAAATTGCCCGGTAATTCTAGGGATTCAGGTGTTCATTCTGGGGTAGAAAATATGAATCCAAGCGAGAAAATAATCGATATTTAGGCAATATGAACGCTTATCAGTAAATATTACAAAAATTAATCAACAATGCTTGAGCCGGAGTAAAACATTGGTATAGAGGTTTTCTATTACTTAAAGTCTTTTTAAACTACTGAATTCAGACTGATAGGCTACAAAATACAGGCTAAAAACTCTAAAAAATCGGGTTGCAAAGGTATCACCGGGGTATTTTGATAATTTTCATATCGCCGAAGAATAGAAAAACTCACGGCTCATTGGGCTACTGACACTCCAGGCTGGGCGCGTGGCGGCACGTCGGCACAGTCGGCAACGGGCGCTCGACCCTTCATCTGCTGCGATAGCTTGGGGGCCCGTCGACGGGCCGGGTTGCGACCTGTAAACAGAGAGATTATTTTGACTAAAGTTTAAAGCAGTAATCCTTGCAGACTTTCAGTTTTAAAGGTATCCGCAAGCGCGGAATCTATCCCTTCCATCTATTAAGTATCGAGGCCAAACAAAACACCTTACGGCTCTTTGTTATCCGTTGGATTTTTTGTAGTTTTAGGAGGCGAGCAGCGACCGGACCGACTTCGCTACTCTTCGTGGCCATTCTCACTTTAGTTCATTCGGTGCCCCTGTTTTGATCAGTAATTATTGACCAGGACCCCTGCACCTGCTCAACCCAGATAATTGGGCCCTTGAGCTCGATTTTTGAGAGTTTTCTAGGGAAAATTATGGGCTGCCAGTCAAGCTCAGGTGTAGATTTTCACCTGCAAATCCGGCCGGAATTCCAGCCTTGAGCTTATGAATCGGAAAGTGTATAGTCGAGAGATGGTGGGGTAAACAAGGAAAAAGCATCTACTACCTCCAAAAGATAAAAAATGACAATTCCACAGTTAGCATACAAAATCAAGATCACAAGGTTAGTGACCAGGCTTCCAAACTAAATATGAATCCAAAATACCCTTTCGGACTACGGAAATTAGCTGTCAAGTCCCCCGTCTATAACTTGAGTACGGCACGAACCAATTGTCGGGCCCACGCAAACCTCAAAAGTTGTTCGAGTTCATTTATGTCGGTGGTCCCCATGGCCACCACCTTGTGTATACCAATACCCTATTAAATCGAGTCAGTCAGGTTCTCCGCCCGGCAACCAATTTACGGCCCGATTTCGGTGGGTTGCTGAGGTTGAAAGAGGCATTTAAAGCGCACGTTCAGGGAGGGGCCGTGTACTCGTCCCAACGTGTACACCCTATGGACGTAGGGACAGCGCGCACTGTCTGCTCGTGCCGTGGGGGGCAATTTCCTTCCCTTGCCGCGTGTGGTGCCCCTCACCCCCTATCCAAGTTCTAGCTGTGGCTGACTGGGCGTAACCGCGCCGCTCGAGCGGGGGCTCCGGGTTCGACCCCGGCCGCGGCAAAAATCTTTGGTTTATTCCAAAAACCGTCCCTGAACGAGCCCTTTAATGAAGAAATCCATAAGCTCTCATTTTCTGATGTCCCGATCCCTTTAAGAACTCCAAGAATCGAGTTGGTTGCCAGAGGTCTTGGCAGACTTAAAAATAACCACTTAAAGGACTAAGAAAGGCTAGTGGATAATTTTTTGTAAGTAATTTTAGCATCTAAAATTAAAACAATTTCTTGCGGATCTGAAAAGTTTGGCGAGAAAGAACTTGGTGTTGTTGCTGTACCCTTAACATGCCTTAAAACCTACTTGCAAGAGTTTTATGGCAAATAGCGGTACAGGTCTACGCCCACTATCGACAAACGGGTGGTCGGCTAACCGGCGGCCGCTCGTCATTTCCCAGAGATGAGGCGTGGGGGTGGGGGGGTACGAAATTACAGCCTCAGGGCCTAGTTTACGGTAGGGCAGCGGAATATTAGTATTATATTGCAGCTGAATATAGACCTTTTGACTGTAAAGTAGGGTTGTTGCATACCGAGCCCGAGGTCGCCACCGACTTGCGTCAGGCAATGCAAATGACTTGAGTCGGCGACGACTCATCAAATTATGAGTCAAGAGGACGGATTGAAATGTTTACGTTTGTTCGTAACGACGCGAGTCATAAACGACTTGAGTCGGAATGAAATCAGTCGGATGGAACGACGAAATCGCGGCAAACACAAGTCTCATTGACTCAAGTCGTTTGCGTTACAAGTCGAAACAAAATGGTGATTTATAGAAATATATGTTCATAGAAATCATTTTAATCGACCAACTATATTCTTGTCTGAACAGAGAGACAACGCCGCACCACTCTTTACGCTACGATTGGACAAGAGATCAGGTCCCACCGACCCTCTTCCATAGAAAGCTGTATAAAAACTGCCGTAAACGAAGGAATTGGTAAAGCTCGAGCTGAGGAGCCCAGGGAGCCGGGTGCTCAGGGAGCTCAGGGAGTTTCTGGAGGTATATTAAAGTATCAAAAACGTTAATTTTGAAGTGCCATACTATTCTGAGTATATTACTACAAGGTTTAATAAGATTTACGGCTTTTCTAAAGTTATGCTGCAAAATCAAATAGGGGATCAAATCGCAGCGCGAAGCGGCCTTTGTCCGCTAGTTCACTGGTTTTATACAGCTTTCTATGGAAGGGGGTCGGTGGGACCTGATCTCTTGTCCAATCGTAGCGTAAATAGTGGTGCGGCGTTGTCTCTCTGTTCAGACAAGAATATAGTTGGTCGATCAAAATGATTTCCATGAACATATATTTGCATAAATTCACTTCCGACGACTTGAAAACGCAAACGACTTGAGTCGTCGGCGACTTGCGTCGTCGCGATTTCAAGTCGTTCCATCCGACTGATTTCCATTCCGACTCAAGTCGTTTGGCGACTCGCGTCGCGTTGCGATTTGAATCGCGCCGATTTTAAATCGCAAGTCACGGTTTTAAAAGCATACGATTCAGTTCGTCAGTCGACTCCAGTCGTTTACGAATTGAATCGTCAACATTTCAATCCGTCCCTTCCGATTCATAATTTTTCCGATGCAAGTCGGTGCCGACTCAAGTCATATAACAACCCTAACTGTAAGGTATCCACAGCAAAAGTTTTCAGATGTTGGAAACTTCGTTTCGAATAATGTAGCCACGGAATAAAATAACAGCGTGGGAGAGTCTGGGGCAATTTTTAGGATTTTTTAAGCTACAAATTTCCCGGAAGCGAATAACGCTTTTTAGGGTGATTGAAGTTACAGTAGCTTCGAGATCAAATAGTGCTTTTTAGAGCTCTTCAAGTTATCGTATTCTGGGAATCAAATAGTTCTTTTTAAGCTACAGTCGCTTACGAATCGAATAGAGTTTTTAACGCTTTTTAAGTTAGTAGCCTTGGAATAGAGTAGTGATTTTTAGGCTTCTTCAAGATACCGTGGCCCTTGAATCGAGCAGTCCGAATTATGAAAATTTTTAGGGTAAAACCCGAGTCGGAGCTGACTCAAATTTTCAAGGTTAATCAGCGAGTTTTAGCGCTTTGGACAGCTACAGTAACCTCAGAATAAATAGCGTTTCTAGGAATGTGGTAGCTTAAGGACAAGATATGGCTTTTTGAGCGCTTTTTAGCATCAAACTCAAATCACGGCTAGCTCAAGTTCTTGATGTTAGGACAAGTGTGGTATTGTCGCCCGTGGAGACTTCGAGTTTCCCCCCTCCTTCGAGTCGGACACCCCCAATTTCCGATCATCACCTGGCGGGCCTTGTCGAGTCCTTTTCTCCCTGTTCTCCCACCTTTTTCCGGCCCGCTAATGGCTAATATTTCCGGTCCTCCCGGCCAGGCAAAAACCCACCCGCAATTTGTAGGGTCGGCCAAAAGATGGCGGCCGGATATCTGGTGGTAAACAGTGGGTTGGCGTGGGTCGGGGTTGGAGTCACTTTTTTGGTATTTTCGGTCATACCCGAAAATTTGGAGTCTAATTTGACCCCGTTGTGAAAGTCAGAAGATTTAGAGCCGCCAGGAAACATCGCAACTAACAGCTATAATTTTAAGGCATTCAACTTCGTCCTCACAGGGGCTGGGCACCTAGAAAAGTCTCCGTTTTTAGGAGCGTTTCGTAGTGGAGCCCATTTAATAAAAAGCGATCTTTCGGAACACTTCTCCGATTACAGTTCTCCGTAAAATTACGGTAGCCAAAATTCACTAATTCACTTCTATCGAGATCAAATAATAGCACGCGATTTGGAACGAATCCCGCAAGTGCTCTATGCTAGCTTACCCCCAGGATAATTTAGAGATTTATACCCATAGTGTTTTTCTCAAAAAACCTCTGCCAGCTCGCCCTACCAGAGGAGAGAGAAAAAGAGAGAGAGAGAGAGAGAGAGAGAGAGAGAGAGAGAGTGAGAGAGACCTAAAGCATTTCCCAAAAATCCTAACAGCAATCCTAAAGAATCTCTGCTAGCCTGCTCCTTTTATCTAATGAGCCTCAACCCAAACCCAAAAATTATGAACACCATAAATTCCAACCATATCGATTCTTTTTCGACGACCATATTCTTTTCAGCATTCCGACCCGATGAAGCTGTTCAGCGGTTTTTCTACTTAAGATTAATTATACAAAAAAGTAGAAAATTACAGTCGAAAAACCATAGAATTCGAATTTCAAAGTTGCTTTAACAATAGATCCAAAACTATAAAAAACGTCCGTGTTGCGACTATTAGTGCCAGATTTCGATGGCCACCTGGTGGAGGTGGGTTAAGCCGGATCGCCTCGCCGGTGTCACCCCTGCATTTGGAAAATCCTCTTCTCTCTCACATACACACTCTCTCTCGCTATCCCTCTATGTCTCTCTCGCTATCTCTCTCGCTCACGAATCTTAATATTTTGGAATTGGGTTTAAATCCATCCCCCAGCTTCAGTTCGACTCCTTCCATTAGCCAAATCACATCAGAATCATTCTTCTAGAAGTGGGAGGGTGACCCGGAGATCATCTCTCTCACTCTCTTTGTCTCTCTCTACCTCTGTTTCGCTCTCCTCTCTCTCTCTCTCTCGCTCTCTCTCTCTTTGCTTCCGGCCCACCTTTCATTGAAAGTTTTTTGCCGCCATACTACGGATAATCCGGGGAACTTCAGGGTGTTTTGTGTGGGTGTAGGTGGATACTTTCAAGGGTAAACATGGATTGAGCTGGCCGGTTATTGGCATCATTTTAAAAGTATTTTTGTTTATGAAAATAAGTCCAAATACTCCAGGTATTTTAAAAGTCTGATTTAAAGGGTTTTGGAAGGAAGAGCCCTTTCGAAACTGTCGAGATCTAGTCGATGAGAGGGGTAGACTCTCACGCATATTACAATTTTAAGCGAAACGTTGAGCTTTGGTTATATTGGCACACTGCAAAAAAAATATAAGATCCTTAAGAAACGTACCGGCATGGTCGAGCTGTGGTGACGAGCCGAGAAGCGGACTGGCTTTTGGCATCTCGACGTAGCCGGAGTCCTGAAACGAAATTTGCTCCAACTATTACTGTCTTTATTTAGAGACCCGAAAAAGTAAAGTTTTGCCTGTCGTACCGCGCCGTAGCGATTTACTAAATTAAATTTTCCTGGGATTTCTAAAATTTTGAATTGGGTTTCGGTTCGGCATTACGGTAGCGTAAAACTAAAAAATCCAAACCAAGGCTTGGGTTTCAAAAAAATAGAATTTTTTTTTAGGTTAGGTTAGGTTTAGGTTCTTTTTTTAGCGGATCTATATTAATTTCGGCAGCTTCTTATGGTATGATAATCGCTTTCGGCAAAGTAAAAAACATTCCAGTACGCTACATCACCTCGCTAATGTACAGTACCTGCAGTGACACACGCGATAGTGTAGATGGTGACGGGGAGTGTGAGTCGAGTGGATGTGCCGATGATCCTCGACGAGATCCGTTGACCCCACCTTGGGAGCCATATTTGCCGGTGGCTTGCTTTAGGGCTAGGTAGACCGGGCCGATTGGGAGATCTAAAAATAAAAAATAAAATCGTATTTTAAAGGGTACAGTATCCGTTTTTGAGAATTCTCGGTTATCCTGACGTAAATAAGCTAATTTTTCCAATTTGATAGGTTTTTCGAATTTTTCCTCAATTTTTTGCTCGTTTTTCACATCTTCAATCAATTTCCCTCTTTTTGACTAGTTTTTTACATTCTAAAATCCCAATTTTATCGTATTCCGTTTCGTTCAACCCCTCTCTCTCCCTACTTCTTGAGGGTGATTCCGGGGAATTTTCCGGCTCTTCTATGAGGCAAGGGATCCGATTTCTGGCATCAACTGAATCGCCAGAGCCGCCCGGTTAGAGGTGCACCGATCGGATTTCCGCTTCTTTTTTGGGGGCCAATAAAACCCTCTATTTATTATAGGGCCTGCTCAAAGACGAGAATAAGGAAATTGGGAGTATTTCTGGGGGTGGGTGGGGGTGGACTGGCGGTGGTAAACAAGGTATACGAGTGTTTGAATGAAATAATGATGAGTGGGCATTGAACGGAAAAATTGTGGCTCTCTCTCTCTCCCTCTTTCTCTCACTCTCTCTGTCAATTCTCTCGCTATCTCTCTCTCTCTCTCTCTCGCTCACACAAACTCTCTCCCTTACTCCTTATATCTCTCTCGATCTCGCTCTCATAGAATAACTCTCTCTTTCGCGCGCTCTCTCTATCCCTCTCTCAGTCTCGTTCTTTCCCCCTCTCGGTCTCTCGTCATGGAGAAGGTTCAGGAAAGCCCTGAACTGCTCGAAGTTGTCGTGACTAATTTTCCCCTTTTTTTGCACCTCGATTTCTAGTCGCTACAAAAGCATTTCCCCCCTGATCCTTGAGCACCTCCGGTCAGGTGAACATCACCAGCCAAAAAAGTAGCTCTTTGGAATCCTGCAGAATTCGCAGAACACCCCTCTGCTACCTCCCGCAGTCGGGTAATCAGATTCAGGGCCGTCGACCTCTATTCCCCTGGATGAATAGCCAAAAGCGTTTCGGGAATTATGACAAAAATTGGCCGATAGAAAGGTTTTTTGGAAAGAAACGTTTAGGGTAGGGGCGTCGGCTTTCAGAAGTGCAGACGGGATTTAAACCTTTTGGGGAAATCGGATGAGCCGAAAGGGATGCAAGAGCGGAGGCGAGAGGCTGAGGTGTCAACATGTTGACCTCAATCCCCTTAGAGCAACAGGATTTAAAATTTGGGTGTGATTTTTGTGTTTTTCGGAGAGCAGAGAGAGAGGAGAGAGAGAGAGAGAGAGAGCGCGGCGCGAGAGCGGAAGACAACGGTTCAAATTTAAGTGTTTACGCTCTCTTATCACCCTTTTAAAGGTACTTGGAAGCGCCGAAATCGAGGCCTCTCGGTGACTAGGTCTGGACAACTACGCTAAATGACAAAATATGAATATCAAAAAATGGATCTTCCAAGGTTATTCAGATCAGATTTAACTTCTCTCCCTGTCGCTCCTGCGCTCGCTCCCTCGCTCCCTCGCTCTCTCTCTCTCTCGCTCTCGCTCTCTGCTCTCTCCAAGTTTCTCAAAAGCTCCGCCTCAACTTGACATTTTCCAACACACGTCCGCTCCACGTTCTTTGGTGCCCCGCGGAACCACGGGCCACCAAAATTTCATTAACTTTCGAGTTTTCGGGGCGGCCATGATGAGATGGCCGCCCGGGTGCGGGTGCAGATCGAATTGCCGGGTTGTTCTTTTTCGCCTTTTTTGCCGATGCTTTTGGCCTTAACAAGATGCGAGGGTGGCATTTGACCCTCTCTCTCTCTCTCTCTCTCTCTCTCTCTGCCTGTCCAAAGTATCCTCCCGGAATGAGTGGCTGCGTTTTTTAATCAAAAGTCAGGGCCCCCGGGGTGAAAACGCAATTTATGAGGGTGGAGGGCAGAACACAGGATAATGGAAAAATGACTCGATTATTCAGCCAGGGGAGCGGATTACATTGGCCAGACTTATCAGGTGAGTTTTTGCGCAATAATTGCACTTTTTGCAGGTTGATGCTGGAATTGACTTTCTAAAGGGACCGGGAAGTCTGGGATTTCAGGTTTAGGAGGACAAGAAACGCTTTGCGTCCAAAAATTAAACCAGAATGTCTTTGAAAAATTTAGCTTTTTTTAGTATTTCTAGATTAAAAAATCAAATAACAGGATTTAAAATTCTTAAAACCTAGAAATTCATCATTAATTTTGAAAGTGTTAGATATCCTCAAAAGGTGAAGGCATGTGTATATAAATTTTAACCTATTTTGTGGATTAAAACTTTGAAAAAAGCAAGAATATACCTCGCCTCCAGCTAGGTCTCGACAGCTACGCGGTACGCCATATTACACAGAAATCCCATGTAAATTGTTTGCTTTTTTGCTTTACTGGGGTCTACTTTAAACGTCAATACGGGTGACCGTCGTCCGGAGTAGCGCGTAGCTGTCGAGGCCTAGTTGGGCGCGCAGACTCATCCATTCTGACGCTTGCCAATGCATTAAAAACCGAATTTTTAGCTTTCCAGCGCCCTTAAAACCCCAAGAATCTCCAATTCCTTGTCCGAACCCTAGCCGATAAACACCAGAATAATTCCCACGATCCGCCATGGCGCAATCGGTCGGTTCAATTATTCAAAAGCTACGCTCAGAATTGAGTTACGCATTTATCTCTCTCTCTCTCTCTCTCTCTCTCTCTCTCTCTGTCTCTCTCCTCTCTCTTCCGCTTCCTAAATTATGCCCTTAAAAGCTAAGTTTTTTCAGAGAAATGCTTTCACGGCCCTGGGAGGGCATAAAATAGAGGGTGGAGTCTCGCCACGCTCGCGAAAGTCGCTTCCCCATTCCAATTACATCCATTATACGGACAATTCAGATCGGGAGGGAGCGAACGAGAGGGAATTAAGCTTCAGAAGAGCATTCAGAAGAGCAAGAGAATTCAGTATTCAAGCCATTCGCGAGCCTGGGGCTCAATTTGCATCCTGATAGCCCCCGAGGAGCGATGATGAAAACATTTTTGAGGAGTTTTTGGAGGTCTGGAAGTGGGAATTAATGTATTTTGGCGCAAAAAATATAAAGAATTGAATAAAAAATCCTGGGACAAATCGGTACATTGGAGCAAATCGCATGAAGGATTGCCTAATTTTCATGCGAACATCGCAAAAATTACCGAAATATCAAATTTTTAAATAATGGCATTAAAACTACTGTGCTTGGTAATTTTTAGTAACTAGAAATCATCGAATTTGGAGTCCAAAAATCCAAAATTTTTGGCTTATCCTGTTGAATTTTGATTTTTTTTGGCAAATCTTGCAAGCTTATTCAGTAATTGATTGGTTTTTGGCTTTGGATGATTCAAATATATAATTTTCGTAATATTGCTATTTTTGCAGCGCAGCTAGCATCTCTACCTACAATCCTCCATATGCTACAATCCTTATTTACCGGGGTCTGGCTGGTTATCCGATTCCTGGCCGATTGCTTTCCTATATTAGGCCTTTCCCTATATTTATAAGATGCGAGGTGGCAAATCTAGGAAACGTGATTCCGCTTGAAAACTCATTACAATCGGGGGCTGACCGGTACAATATTCCCAGTATGATTCAGAGAAAGACGCATCCAACTGCAAAAAAAAGCGAGGCCAGGGCTAGGCAAAAACCGACTGATCTTGACAAAAATTGACAGATTGTGGGGACAAATTACGGTACAATACTCTGTACGCTAAGACCAAAAACGTACTGCATTAGGCAAAATGACGCTAAACAAAATTCAGGCGTGAACTTCGTAGAATGTAGGGCTAAGTAAAAGGTTACTGAAGCTTAATAAAAATTGGAGTTAGGCAGCGGATACTACGGTACAGTACTCTGGAAATTCCTTTCACGCGCTCTACAGTACCGTTAAGATCACGAAAAACCAAACAAAACTCAGTTTAGCGAAGGGCATAAATAGTTTTTAGAGGCGCGAATCTCGCTTCTAGAATAATTTTTATATTTATTTTTATCGACTGCAGTATTTTTTATACCCCTTTAAATCACTCGCATATTGTAGTCAATCACCCATAAAGCGTAATAAACGCATCTACGCCACCTCCCCGAAACAATGGGCTCGATTTTCACGGGCCCTTGCCCCCTCTCTCACGAGGGTGCGAACATCACTTTTGACGCCTCCGCCCGGGCTAGGACAAAAAATAGGGCAGGGAAGGGGATAGGTGTGACGTTTTGCCCTCAATTAGCGTCTGTTTTTGTGGGGGTTAACGCATTCGAGCTGCCTGTTCGAAAAGCGGAATTCGGATATGAAAGCCGGGTTTAAAGGTATTCAGAAAGTGGGAGAATCGACCCCTTCCATTACCTAGGTCTCGACAGTTACGCGAGGCGCCAAAAACACGTTGTAATTTGCTTGAATAGCCAAATTTGGATTTGATCTTTTGGAAAACAATTTTTTGCGGTGTCGCTAGGCGTATTACGTAGCTGTCGAAACTTAGCCAATCGAATGACGCGCTTTTGGACTCCTTTAATCCGGATTTTAAGACATTTTTTGGACCGAATCTACTCGGAATTAAATGTTCTAAAAGTGCGAGAATCGACCCCTAAATTGCCTGGGTTTCGACAGCTACGCAACACTTCAAAACACGCATTCCGAGGTGCAAACGGAAAGGATCTTGCTGTAAAGAATACGGCGGTTTCAGGTAGCTGGCGAGACCTAGTCGATCACAAGGGTCGATTCTCGCGCTTGCTTGGACCTTTAAACCAATTTGAGACTGAATGAAGCGAGAAATTACCGAATCGACGCTCTTAAGTTTAAACCAAAAATAACCTTCCAATTGTCTTAACAAAAAAACTAAGAAAACCAGCAGAAACCAACTTCCAACTCTAACTTAAGTAAGATTTCGATATTTTTATATACCGTTAAGATTTTATACCTTCCGAAGCCCTTAAAAAAGCTTCAAAAAAACCGGCTTCATCCCTATTTTAATACCTCAACGCCTCATTAAAAATATATACCTGCCCAATCCTTAAAACCCAAAAAAATCCCACCTCGACTGGGCGTGCTCTCGCTGCTGTGCTGCTCCTGGAGTCTCTGAAATCGGTGGGATAGATCGGATTGGGGGCAGCGTTTAAGGTATCTCCTCGATGGGCCAATTATCACCCCACGGGGTCCCACCACGGGAAGAACACGTCTCGGGCTACCGTACCCCGAGGGTGGTGTGCCCTGCCCGTTATTAGTAACGGTTCCGTACTGTCCCATTACGGTAGTGGCTAACAGATCCGGCTGTGAGAAGCGGGAATGGGGGCTTTGGTGGAATTGTCGCAAAGTTGTGATCGAGTTCCGGTTTTCCCGCAAGCCGACTTGGGCTTGGCCTAGGTTTTGGAAGACTTGGGGGAGAAGTCGGGGACCGCCGTCCAGGGGGGCTTCTGAGGGACCGTGAGTCATCGAGATTCGACGAGTCATTTTAGGGGTTACGGTAGTTGGGTCAGGTTTTAGCAATTAGCCAGATCCAAGGTTTTATAGCGATTAGAAATTTACGATAGGTTACGGTAGGCAGCGCAGAATTTAAGAAACAGCTCGATTTCAATGACTTGATTACGGTAGCGGGGTCACAGCTCAGAATACCGTATTTTTAGTAGGAAATCCGCAACGTTCCAAACCACGCCAACTCAAGCCGTTTAAGCCTATATTCAGCGAATTACGGTAGCTGGGGGCAACTTTTAGGGGCACTTTTCAAGCAGTAATTTGTAGCCAGTAGCGCTCCAAGCTCAAAGAGCTTCAGAAGCTTAGATTTAAGCCAAATTCGATAGCTTAAAAAATTTGAGGTATCCGGAAGTTCCGGAATAGCCGGAATTACGAATAAAATGACTTAGAAGAATTCGAGAATCTGAGGAATCCTGGTAATTTAGCAATTTTCCGGAATCAGAAGCTTCTAGCCTGAGAATTCTGCGCGCCGCACGTCAAAAGTTGGGGCTCCCCAGTTGTGGGCGTGGCTTATCCGAGGGTGTGTGCCCTGAGGGCATTCCCCGTTTCTCACTACTGCTACCCCCCAGATGTAATTGGCTTTTATTCGGACCCTGTGGCGGCTTCTCTTTATGAAGGGTCCCACGATTGGAAAATGTGAACGCTTTGAAGGGAGGGTAAAATGAGACTGGAAAGAGGAATGAAACGGAACGCACCCCGGCCCGGTTGCTGCTCCGGCTATTTCACTAAATGACCAGGGGGAATTGGCAAATTTCGGTTTTCGGAGAGCTTGGGACGGACAGAGTGGGTTTGACGCAACCTGGCGTAATTTGGAGCACTGCGGAATTAGGGTAGCCGAAAGGGAATTTTAAATTTTATTGGCATAAAAATTACCGTAATTCTTTAGATAAAAACAGGGTCACGTCTTTGGCGCATTGCCACATGAGAAGCAAGAAATTAATATGAAAATTGAAACCAGAAAAACTACCGTAATCGAAAAGACAGCAGGGCATGATTTTTGGCGCAGTGCCGCGAGATAAAGCCGCTATTGCATAAATTTGCGAGCTCCTACAATAATTAATTTCTCTTTGAAATCAAGCCGACCGACTGGAAAAACATATCCAAAAATTAACATAAATCTTGTGTCGACGATTCCAATGAGACTCTATAAGAAACCTGACAACCCCGTCGTTAAGTATTAGGTCAAAATGACCGAAAACTACCCAAAATACGTGGCATTCAATCCGATTATTTATTCTGTAAGTTTCGAAAAATTACGGTACTTTAGCGTCAAAAAGGTCCCGTATTCTTCAATTTAAATGAAAGGTTTTTCTCCAATGCTCTCTGCTACTGCTCCAAGGTCAACGTTCAACTTTTAGAATCCGGGATGTGTTTGGAGTGACGGCTTCGTCGCGTTTTTTCTGTTATTGCCTCCTCAATGTGTGGCATTTTGGGGTGGAGGGCGGCTGGGTTCAAACGCTTGCAAGTTTTTTCCATATCTCTCGCTTTCTCTCCCGCTCTCTCTCTGTCTCTCTCTCTCTCTCTCTCTCTCTCTGTCCCTCTCTCTCTCACTCCCCCTCTCCCTCCCACTCTCTCCCCACTTGGTGAACTTCCTTTTGATCCCCATTTTATGCATTTTTCGGGGTTGGATACTGCGCGGAGGGGTCCCCAGAGGAGGAAGAGCCGAGGAGCTTCAAATGGGAGATGATGCCAATAATATCAAGTGTTTTTCCTGGAGTGGATGATGCGGAAAATGGGAATCAAAATAGCTACAGGATCGAGCAAAGAATATTTTTTTGAGTAAGGCGTTTAGAAATGCAGAAAATTATGCGTAATTTTGCCTATTCGACTTTTGGACCATTGGCAATCTGGCTAAAAATAGCCGTGGGACGCGATTTTCATAAAAACTTCATTTGAAACTGTTTAAAGCTTATTTAAATTGTCAGAGCTTTATGGTGTTAGGTATTGGTTTTCATGGCTTTAAAATTAATTTTTAGTTTTTAAATTTTTTTCAGTCTGATTCCTAAAGTCCATAACTACACTTTGGCCCCATATCATTCCCCAGCCTATTCATCGTCTAATCGGAACTGCAGGGCCATCGTCTGGCCCCCTCTTTTTGGGTCCAAAATGGGGGAATTAGAATTGGAGAGCGGGTCTTTTTCCGAGTAGTGACTGGCCCCGGGTTCCTCTTTTAATGCGCCATCAATCAAGGAGGGCGAGGGTGGATGGGTGGAAAAAGAGACGAGGAGGATGAATAGCGGGGAGCAGGAAGTATTTTTTGGGCTTTTGAACGGGTTTGGAAGTCAAAATTCACGGGGAGTCACGCTTTCTCGCTCCCTCGCTCCCTCTCTCTCTCTCTCTCTCTCTCTCTCTCTCTCTCAAGAAAGCCCCAAAATACCCTTCAACTTCTTCCTTTTTAACGATTCGTTCCGGAAGAGTTCCGGAAAAGTGGCTTGCCGACTTTTGGGGGGGATGAAAAATTCCGGAAACTTGCTGGAAATGATCAGGCCCTGAGAAAATTTGGATTTGAGAATCATGACAAATTTTCAAATTTTTGAGACATAGCGATGGATTTCCAGTCGGAATGCCGACAATCAAAATTACTTAACTTAATTCTTATTAAACTTGTAAAACTAGTAACTTTTAAAAAATTCTACTAACTAACTAGTAACTGATAACTGACTCTCAAGATTCAGAGAGTCAAAATAAATGCCGACAGTCAAAAGGTCGAAAAACAGGTAGAAAAGCCAGGCCTCAACTCAACAAAAAGTATATTTGTATCTGTCAGTGGCCATTTTACTAGCGAATTTTTGGTTTTCGGCATTATGACCAGCGGTACTTAGCTGTCGGCATTTCCCTTGTCGGTATTTTGGGTTCTCGGAATCTTTACTATAGAATTTTCGGATGTAGGCATTTTTACCACCGGAACTAATTAATTAAAGCTGTCGGCATTTTAACTATGGATTTTTAGCGGCGCGAATTTTGGACGTGAGATTTTCGATGTCGACATTTTAGCGGTAAGTTTTTTTGAGCTGTCCGTATTTTAACAATTTCCCTTACCGGCTGTCGGGCGGTCCACGGGGAGAAGGACATCTTTTAGGGAGAAAATCGTTGGAATATTTTGACTATGGAAATTCTAGAAATCCAATCGATTTAGTCAAAATTGAATTCGGCTCCTGGCACGTGAGCACGGAGCACAATGGAATATCCGAGCCGGGGGATCGAGCGATTTTTTGGGGGGAAATCCCGATTTCGTCAGAGAAGCCCCAGGCAAGGGTGGAGCAGCAGATTATAGGGTGGACGACGGGATTCCAGCCGGAAATTCGGGGTGTCCACTCTTCAGAGTTCACAATTTATGGCCGAGCCCCCTCTTTGGCCAGGTGACCGACGGATTCCATAAATCGCTTGGTTGGGCTGGGTTACGGTGGGTGGGGCGCAATATAGCAGTGCCAAAAAATATGATGTTGTTTTATCAGTTTAGTAGAATTCGCAATTTTGAGATGTTTGAGAAATCGAGCACGGTAGCTGGGTCAGGGTTTAGCGATCGGAACGAGCCGTTTTTGCTGTTTCCTAATTTTCCGAGCCGAAGTACGGTAGCCAGGACGCAATATAGCGTGGCCAAAAAATGTTCGAATCCTTTATCAATTTTAGTAGGCTACTTTGAGCAGGGGATTACGGTAGAACGGTAGAGTTTAACAGAAGGAAAATAATATTTTGAGATAATTCTCGATTTTCCGGGCTTGGATTACGGTGGTTGCGGCAGAATTAATCAACTAGTAAGAATTGGAAGAATTCAAAAAATCCTGAATGTTCGAATAATCGGAATTTTTACGAATAGCAAATCAATTTTTGGTCATTGAATTAGGGAATTCAACCCTATTAGACAGTATCAATTGGGTATCTCGACTACAGTATTATCAGCTGGCCGCGGATTACTGTGATCCGTAGAGTGCAGATTACGATAAGTGCTCCGCCGGGGGTCCTCCAAAATGCCAAACTATTTTTGGATTTTTAGTAGCTTTTTCAGAGGCTGAGGATTACGGTATAAATTCAAAATCAGAAATTAGACGTGCAGTACTATAGAAAATATCTGATTTGTGGCTTTTTAGGGCTCTATGGCTCGAATGCAAACGGATAAATAACCGAAATCAGCAGGGTCAGAATTTGTGCCCGGGCTTGCACCCGGCTGCCCCCGGGAAAATCTGAATGAAATTCGAAATTCGCCCTCTCCCCCGAACAATGATCAATTCAATTCCAGCGCCGGGCAGCCGTTTTTCGTTGATTAAAAATGCTGAAAAATGGCAGGCTGGTGGTGGTGTTGGGGCCAAAAAATTCATGTTTCCGGCCCGGAATTGTTCGAAATTCACAAAACAAAGCCAATTTTAATTAAAATTTGATTTGGTTTTTTATTACTTTAATTAACTTTTCAAAATCCACAGAAAGCCATAATTAAGACTGTTAATAATTTTCTCTAGTTAAAGTAACGTTTAAATCTTCGCCTCCTGCCTTGTTGTTAGTAGCACTTTGATGTACTTTTCACACCTCTATACCTCGATGTTCATAAATTGGCATACTTTTGCGCGCTAGATTACGTGTCGACATGCACATCTCAGGCTTTTGATGAGACGAGGGGGGAGAGGGGCATCATTTTTCTTCCGGAGAAGAAGCTTTTTCCGGTCCTCAAAAATACCCGCCAGCTTATGAGGGGAGAGGATCCTGATGGGCAAATTAACCTTGTTAGGAGAAGGGGGTTTTCTCACATCTCATTCATACGGATAGATCGAGAAAAAGGAAAAGATCGGATAGATCAGCTAGGAATTGAGGAGAAAAACCTATGATGGAACCAACTAAAATTAGCTCCGGAAGTAGCAGAACGCCGAGGGACTTAAGTTCTCCACGTGCATGATAAAAGCCCAGCTTCAAGCTGACTTACTCCTGCTTTTAAAGGGACTCGAAGCGCGATAACTTTAAAGCTACTAAGAAGCGCACTATCACAATAG